TAATTCAAAAGGGAGACACATTTCAAAACTTAAAAATAAGCATACTTACTTACTGACAGATGAAACGCTATATGCCAACATATGCTCGGTAATGTAAATTAAATAGTAATAGAGATAAACAAAAATTAAATTTAACATATAAAATCCCAAATCTAGACCAGTACCAATATAGATCTAGAAGACAAATCCTATTTTAAAATTAAAACTTAAAAATATACAAGACCATAACCAAATAAAGAAAAGTATGCCCCATAACATCCATTGTACACAGCTGTACTCACTTCACACTGGAAATATGTATCACCTCTCTTGGAATTCTATGTATCACTTCACATTCGAAATATATAGCATCAGTACACCAGTAATACAATCACTATTACAATCATATTTAAAATGATTTAAAATAACATAGCATGGTAACTATTCCCCCTTATAAAATAAAAATTTTCTGATTTTAAACAAATAAAGTATTTTAAGTATTTTAAATAAAAGTGGAGTCATTTAACACCGAAATGAGAGTTACTTACAATATTAATCAGTTACAAAACAATTTTTTACTTTAAAATGTGCTAGTGGTGGGTAACATTTTTAAATAGCATATACCAGTAAATATAAAAATGTTTAAATACAATGATACGGAGTTTCCCATTATTTTAAAATGAATATTTTAATGAGACTCTCTTAGCGTATGTAAGCAAGTCTACATAGCAGACGAGCCAACACTCCAAATGCTGGTTTATCAAAGCTTTTTTTTTTTTGTAAAGTGGGTACCTTTTTACGCAATACCGCTGCCCTTGGGTCTGACTCCCTCCAAAAGTCAGAAATTAATTGATAGATCTTTAGGCCTATAGGCAGTGGTTCTCTAACTTTTACCAGTGAAAAACTATCTCGTTCGCACCCCCTCTCTTTTCCCCATTAGCCAGCTGGTGACCGGAATGGGCGCTGTAAAAATGTTTTTTTTTTTAAATGTTGTACGTGTTTCGAATGTTCCTTCAGAAGTGAAAATAATTTACTTCCTAGTCCAAATCTGCCGCAGGACGACGGGGGATGACAGCGGGCATTGTATGAGCCCGGGACCATCGAGACATTCTATGGCCATATTACAAGGTCCTCGGGGCTCGCAAAGACTTTCCTTTAAGAACAGTACTAGGAAAAAGAAGAAGAGACAGAAAGAAAAAGCAACGGGAAGACAACATAAAAGAATGCCGTTGAGGGAGATTCTGTCCAAGGCAAAAGACAAAGAGGAATGGAGAGAAGCGGTCAATGGATCTTGTGTGATGCATTAACGATCCAACAGACTAGGGGATAGGTGAAGGTGAAAAGAGATACTTATATATGGCATAATATAGGCGTAAGACACCGTCATGCAGCTATCATAAAAACTGACACAGAAACTCTTTTGTTCCTTCTGCAATGAAATGACTGAACAAAAAGTAACCTACTGTTGTAGATTATTGTTTTATTTTTATTATGCGAAAGACTTTTGGGATAACTTGGATATCGCACGTCTGTAATAGGCTCGATCTTCCTCAAATCAATGGATGCGCCCAGATGAGTCACTGGTTTTGGTTTCGTCTTGAGATATGGCAGAATCTGGTGTGGCTAATCAAGCCAATTCTGGAGCGACAGATTTTGCCACAGTTCGTGCATGTGTATGCATCTGTTTATGGGCTAGCTGACAGGGCCACTTTCTTTTTCTTCTCATGACTAAGGCCGCTTTATTTCTTTTGCTCAGCGAGGATCGTACCAGCACGCACAGTCTGTCTCCATGCACTCCGGTCTTGGGCTATTTCCTCTCACGTGCTTTTGTTGATGCCTGTGGTTCTTATGTCTCGCTTGCGGAAATCACTATAGGTTAGTCTTGGGCTGCCCTTGGGTCTGACTCCCTCCAAAAGTCAGTATGTAAGATTTCTTTCGGGATTCTACCATCTGGCATGCGGGTGTCATGTCCGAGCCAGCGCAGTCTTCTCAGTGTCAGGAGAGCATAGATGCTGTGCATGTATTAGCCAATTTCAAAACTTCCTAATTGGGGACATGATCACTCCAGGAGATGCACATTATGCTTGTCAGGCAGCGCAAGTGGAAACTATTCTGTAACATATTGGTATTATATGTACATTTGCACACTAGCGCGTCAGTGCAACACCGCTTGTGTTCACGTAATAAATGGAGTTCCTAATATGTCTTCCCTCTTAAACACTAGTTTATTATTTGTGTAACACGAATATTCTACAATTCAAAGTGTGCTCTTAAGTAAAATATTTTAATTATATTTAATGTAATGCACTTGTACTTGAATAATACTCAAACATAGGCTAACAATTACAATATTTTTTTATCCTTGAATATTAAATTGACCTTCCTTATTTAGTCAGGACGTCGGGAGAGAAATCCACAGTTTGAGAAACGCTGGCCTACAGTATATTGATTCATATTTTCTGCCAACACTTATATATCTTTTCTTCAAGACAATAGTGTTCAGTGACAGATGAGTTTGTGGGAGGGGAAGCACGGATTCAGACCAACATTCTTGAGCGTGTGTGCGGAGGGCTAATTATTTACATGCAATTTATGCAAATATGACGACCGAATTGTAAAGGCTTTTTTTTTTATAGAGTTGACGCGAAAACCAATCGTTGAATGGTCTCGGTTGACGGCGTAACAGAAAACGCTTTACAAACCAGCTTAAACATAGAAGTGACGACTGGATATTTCTTTAAAGGCTGCTGGATACTTATTTGATATCAAACGGAAATCTACTACCAATAAGGGTTGTCTGCGTTGAATGTGACAAAATATGTAGATCACAGCTAGGATTGCGCAGCCACGTGAAATATTGTAGGCCTACTCATTCTTACTCTTCGTACTCGAAGACAAGTCTTATTATTATTTTATGCCATTGATTACAATATCGCCTCCAGATCTGGCAGTAGCCTATTGGTCATGATTATTTTGTGTCAAATCTTTTAAAAAAATGTTTCTTTGCTGTTGCTGTTTTTCCCATAATTAATATTATTATTTACAGAAATGATTAATTGAAACTAAAGCAATAGATCAATTGAAAGACATGTTTCTCGATATTGAGACGATTGCATTTTTTAAAGAATCTTTTTCTCTACTTAAAATTAATTCTGAGGCGGTAGCGAAAATGTAATTTTAGAGACGCTTTAATAAAATATGCTTATACACATTTTTTTTCCCTCTACTTCACAAATGCATTGCTATTGCAGTAAAGTTTCGATGTTCAGTATTAATATCACTGCCAGGGATGGCAATCTGAAAATTAAAAATAAAGATAAAGTTCATAGAATCCTAGATGCTGCTGGTAAACATTGGCAAAAAAAAAGAACAAAAAAAAACAACAACCCCATTTGGGCAGCAGCTGTTTGAGAAAACATTCATAAGAAAGCTAAAAAGATTCTAGAAATTAAAAAAATCCCCCTTTGGGTTAGGGTTTTATGATATTACCATCACAAAAGAGATACAAGACACCGAGAGCAAAGACAAACAGACACAAAAAACCCGTTGTTTCCATGGTAATAAAATTCAACCATCTGATATAAGCATTTCACGTGTAAATTCTGAGTGAGTCTGGTGTGAATGGAGGCCTATATTTTAGTTTTCAATAGTTCTATTGTTCTGTTTAGTGAAATACACAAATTGCAAGACAAAATTTTCTTATGGCTAATAAAGATTATTATTATTATTTCACTTTTGTATATACTAAATACGACACTATTAATCGGGGGAGGGGGTGCGGATCCAGATATGTGCAGCTTAATTTTGGTATATCATGTAGGCTTTGTTTTTCTTGTCTCAAAGTAACTCGCTGATGTAAATATCTGTGAAGAGGCTACCTGGAAAGACGAACGTATCTAGCCGAGGGCTGCCATCATTTAAATTGCACGTAGGGATGGTGGTATATGAAAGAGGCTCCCAAGTCATAAGCTACATCACATTTCTCATGGAGAAAGTCTTCCTGACAGTGGCCATTTCTTTTCGTAGGCTAATGGTGAGTTTTCCCAAACTTACACTTATTCTATAGCTAGTTAGAAAACAAAGCTATTGTTTAAAATTTTGAAATAGGCTACCATTTCAATTAATGGAATTTCGCAAAATATTGCTGCATCTATTTGTTTCCATACACTTTACTAAGCCTTTATATTTGTTGCGCCAGGGTGATCTTTTATGAGTGTTAGTGTTTCAGGCTCCAAGGCAAATGGGACAGTCACCATCGGAAAAATCAAACAAACAAGAATAACTTTTTAAAATACCCTTTTTAAAAAACAAAGCTTGTGTTAAGTGCAATGGTGGGAATTAGTTTGGATCAGACGTCATGCGCGTATGGAGTTGGTTCTTTGTTAGGTGTGCTTCTTTTGTGCACCATAATAGTTTGTGCGCTGTTTCTAAGGACGCGCTCTGTAGGCTTCTTTTTGTTTTTGGTTGGGTAGCGGATTCTTGGCTAGAACATTTTTCTGTTTGTTGTTTTTTTTCCCCCAGTATTGGATAAGTTTGGTTATTACAATCTCTTCGTTATTTCGTAACTCTAAAGTTGTGTCATTATAATCATGTGAATGGCGGTCACAAGGAATGCATATTCTTCTTGTTTAGGGACTCAGCGGAAGTAAAGCCTGATCTGTATTGGTATCTTATATAATACAGACGTTACTTCAAAAAAGAAGATGGTATGGACGCTACTAGGCCTTTATAAACTGGGTTGTGGGCATCGCGACGGAGTGGACAGTTTGCACTGAAACTAAGATGCACCAAGGGCACTTTGTTTCACCTTCACCTGTCCCTTGGTCTGCTGTTGGAGCACCACACATCTGTCAAGTCTTGCTCCATTCCTCTCTGTCATTTGCCTGGAGTAGAATCTCAAAATTTACAGGCCCATCCATTCTTTGATAATGTCTTGCCATCCATTCTTTTGTTTACCGAACAAGACTCACGGGCTTTAGGCTTACACTCTGCATGCATTAGATAACAAACAACAAAAGATCTTTATTGGCCTGTTTAATATAAACATTGCTGATCACAAATACGAATTATGGCAAGAAAATTTATTAAGTTAATATTGCATTTTTTTTAGAAGTGATTTTCCCCAAAACAAACTTGATTAAAAATATCACTAATGAAATACTGGCCAAGACATGACCTTCACTTCAATGCAATTTAAAAAATAATAGAATGATATAACATGGCGATGATCTGTGAAACAAATATACATTTTAAAAATATTATTATTATTATAGCTTTTATATAGCGCTACTTTCATGCTTATAGCATGCTCAGAGCGCTTTTCGTCCAATCTCATTTGTGGACCGGTTGGGGGGGGGGGGGGGGGAGGGGGTATCTAGGAGTTAGTTTTCCGTGCTGCCTTTAGGCGCTCAGTAAACACATCTCTGCCCGGGTGTCGAACCTCGAGCCCCCCTTCTAGGTAGCCAAGCCAAGTCAAGTTCAAACACACTTAGCCTCTCGACCACGCTTCCCACATCAGTACACATAGGGTGTTTACATTTGCTCAATAGTCGTTAACATGACTTTTCTAATGATTTACTATGCATAGTTTTACTTCTGCCATAGAATAATAACGCTTCAGGTTTCACCACATAGGAAAGAAAGAAAAAACCCTAGATATACACAAAGCACTTAGGTGTTTCAATAAGACACTTCTATACAATTTTTTTTCTCTCCATTCTCTTTACATTTGTATGGAATACCAGGCTAGATTACAATGTTGTAAATACCTTTTGAAAGTATTCACCAATAAAAACACTGTTGTCATTGTAAAAGAAAATCAATAAATTCTTCTGTTTCCTTTTTATTCAATTGTAAGATTAATTAAAATGAATTAAACAGAATGAATGAAATGAGACCAACACTGGGTTTTTTTCAAGCACAATTCTGATAACTACACATATATATATATACCAGAAATATCAGATAAGGGGAATGTCATGGTGTATAAAAGCCTCTTTCTGTTTAAAATTAACTTTTATAGGTCATGGCCACACAAAAATCTATCATGGATCTCAAGGAATTAAGATTTCTTCCAAAATGAACAAAACAGATTTCTTCTATTTTGAACTATTTTTGACATTGTTGATACTTTGAAGCAGTATTGATAAACACACAAGGTGTGTTGTAGTTTTTGATAGATGGTGATGTTGCCTTTGAATGACTGCAAGTACCCAAGCAATGAGCAGTGGCTAAGCAGTAAAACACTTGGCTTCCAAACTGGGGGTCCCGGGTTCAAATCCTGGGATTTTTTAATTTCGGGACCTTTGGGCAACTCTGAGTCCACCCAGCTTTAATGGATACCTAACATTACTAGGGTAAAAGTAAAGGCGGTTGGTTCGCTGTGTGCTGGCCACATGACACCCTCGTTAACAGAAAGACATCATCTTGACTGTAAGATGTCATGAAATATTAAGACTCATGACATGCTGTAAATCTGAATAGGCAGCTTATATATGTTTTACATGTTCCTTCCATCCAATTTTTGTCCAACTTACACACTAGTTTAATACATCTTCTTATCTTATGTGATACAGACATTAGGGTACTTCTAAAAAGAAGATGATTACGTCCTACATTTAGTCATGCATATTAAAGCATCTACTAAACTTGTATTATCTAAATATGTCTAAATAATAAAAAAAACAACTTCTTTCTGGCAATGGCAACATTTGTTGTAAGATTTGTTTTTGGGTAATTCATAAACTTATTTTTGATTTGAACTACTTAAAAGTAAGCAAGGAATGCAAACACTGACTTTGCCATCACCAAAAAAAAAAGAAAAAAAAAAAAAAGAATTAAATAGTTTTAATTACTGGTAGATGATTTTGATGTTTCAACTCAGTCCAATAAAAGTGACTTTAACTCTATGCCTTCAAAAATACCTTTGTATACATAACTATTCACATTCTAACCTTGAAGACAGCAAACATAAACATTTTTAAAGTGTGCTCACAATTAAAAAATAAAAAAAATTTTAAGTTCATTGTATACTTTGTTTTAAAGAATAAGTCTTGTTTTCAAGAATAAATCTATCACATGCAATAAGTAGGTACAGTAACTTCTGGTGCTGTCTTTAACAATGTAAAACATATTATTCTAAATACTCAGTTTCTTCATTTTTTTATAGATATGGTAACTTTGTATTACACAGTCTTCTTTTCATACTCTCAAGCTGAATTAGTATCAGCTTTCACTAGACAAGCTAGAAAGATGAAAACTCCAGTTTCAATATGCTACCACAAAGACAGTCTTTGGTCAAATGTTACAAATGTTCTGAGTGGAAATACACAGAAGAATGCACCATTATATAGCAGAGATTTACAATTTTAAAATGTTTATCATACAATTTTGGTGCACTATCCATTTTAACTGCCTTCAGCGTTTTGTCAGGCAAATTTATAAACATCTAGTTATTCAATGAAATAAATTTATATGATGCAGTGTCATCATAAACTGGTCAACAGCAAAAAATTTTTACACATTAAAATTCCATCCATGCAATGACTTGAAATTAAGCTGATAAGTGTGTGTGTGTGCCTGATAATTTTTAATCTCTGGCTACTTTAAAAAACAAATATGCATAAAAAATCACATATATAATGATAGGTCTTCATTAACACCATATACTTATACATATTCAAAGTCATTGATTATAATAACATGTACTACTGAAGCCATTGTTAGGCACTGAAGGAACACTCTTATCAATTTTGAAAACAGCTTCTTATGTTTTGCTTTCGCATTAATGCACAATAAAAGTATGGAAACATTGTTTACATAAAAATGATGTGAGAAATGTTTGAAAAAAAGAATTACAAGAATATATATTTTGCTTGAACCACTCTACACATAATTATAACATAAAGGTAAAAAATATTGTTATTGTACAACCATATTAACACAGATAACATCATGTCTATGTGTTTGTATCACATAATATTGTTGGGTAGAAATTAACAATTTTACACGAAGATAGAGAACATGAAGATCTTTTGTCACAAAAACATTTAAATAAATAAATGGCACATTTAATACCAAACAGCTTTATAAGGATATCTCCCAAGAATCTAACATTTGCTTCGTTGTTTTGATACCAGGCTAAGATTTAGCTAAAAGGAGAGAGAAACCTGAGTTCAACATTGTGATCTGCTGTAGAAAGATTGTTTAAAGTTGCTGCTGAATATAACACGTGTGCAGCTTAGTTCGTAACTAAGACATCTCTGCATAAACTTCAACTATTCCGGTTGAAAACAACAGATATCTTTAAGCATAAACTAAATTCTGTATAACATATTAGTTTAGGATAAGAGCACCAGTTTAAGACATCATTTACCAAGAGAACTTTCTCCTTGACAAATCGCATTATTTCAATTGACAAATAATATCAAATTATTTCAAAGAGAAACAGAATTTAAAGATTTTATTTACCAAGAGAACTTTTCCCATGATAAATAAGATCAGATTATTTCAAAGAGAAACAGGTTTGAATGACTGGAGCCTGTGGAAAAAAAAGGTTGATGACAATGTTAGTCTGTATTTCTTTTGGCAACACTTTCAGTATATTCCACACGTTACAAAAAATGGAACATGAAATTGAATGCAAAAATCTGAGTATTGCACAGAGTATACACAAAGCACCAGATATTACAGTTTCTTGTATGCCAGTTTGTAATGAATTTTCTTTGATGTCAGCCTGTAAAAAAGAAATGATTGTATTTAGGTATGTTCTTTATCTGCCCTATAGACCACAAGGTCTGAAAGGAGAACTTTACTTTACATTCTTCATCAACAACAATTACAAGGAATAAAATGATTTATACATAAATAGCAATGTCTGAATTATAACAAAAATTTAACAGTTTCTTGTATTTTTGATGGCTTAAAAAATACAATCTAAATAAGGAATAATTGAATTGTTTCTGTTTCTTTGGCCAGCGGTTAACAAGCAATGTGTCATGTGGCCAGCACAACGACAAACTGCCTTTACTTTCCCCAACTAATGTCAGGTACCCATAAGAACTGGGTGGACTCAGAGGCTCCAAAAAGCATTAAATAATTATGCTCTTTAAGAAATCAACTTATGTTTATGAAATTTTATGTCTGGAGATAAATGATAATGATTGTGACTTCAGTACTAACCCTAGCCCTAGCCCAAATTTAAAAATCCTGTTTTCACTGAATAAAATAAACTAAGTATAAATTCTTGTTCTGTGTGAAGCATGAGGAACTCTTCTTAAAAAGTTTTAAAAGCTGATAACTTCCTAGCACTTTCTAACAAATGAGTAGTTAACTGTTAATACTGCAAAATGTTTGAATAGGAGAGGATGTGATAAGACATGTTACATTTGTTTACTAGGATTGGTACTTCATACCACCAGCCAATGATACTTAGTGAGTGCAGTGTAGAGAAAAAGAGAGAAGAGAATCACCTGGAGTATGTGTTATCAAAGATGAGTGTGTGTGTGTTAGAGACTAGATGAATCACCTGGAGTATGTGTTATCAAAGATGAGTGTGTGTGTGTGTGTGTTAGAGACTAGATGAATCACCTGGAGTATGTGTTATCAAAGATGAGTGTGTGTGAGTTAGAGACTGGATGAATCACCTGGAGTATGTGTTATCAAAGATGAGTGTGTGCGTGTTAGAGACTAGATGAATCACCTGGAGTATGTGTTATCAAAGATGAGTGTGTGTGTGTGTGTGTTAGAGACTAGATGAATCACCTGGAGTATGTGTTATCAAAGATGAGTGTGTGTGAGTTAGAGACTGGATGAATCACCTGGAGTATGTGTTATCAAAGATGAGTGTGTGTGAGTTAGAGACTAGATGAATCACCTGGAGTATGTGTTATCAAAGATGAGTGTGTATATGCCAGATGTTTTAGCAGTCAGCTCTCCTGTGACAGTCTGCTTGTGAGAGTCACACTTGCAAGGGGCTACAATCGCCTCAGCATCAGCAATGTTGACACTTTGATTGGACCTATAGTTCACACTAAACACTATATCCTGGGGAAGCACAAACAATAGATACATTTTTATTCAAAGATAGATTTGTAAAAACAAATGTACTTGTTACTAGTTCCCTGTGTAAGAGACATGATTGCCATTGTTCTCATCTAATGATTAAGGACTATAGAGGAAGTTTTCCAACCTGTCAAGTTTTAGACAGTTGCTGGTATCTGACATTAGTTTTAGAAAATAACAGTAGCATATAGGTTACACAGTAACTAACAAATTAACTATAGT